CTTTGGTAGCAAACCCCATAACTCTGGCTCTAGCATTTGGTTTCTTCAGTACTTTCCCAGTATGGAAATATTAACCAAACCCTGAACTTTCTAATCTCCCTGCTTCTAGTCTTGTGATCTCCCTCATATGCTAATTTTAAAAATGTGTTCGCATATTATTAGTGCCCTACCCGAGGTGCAGAGCCTCTCTTTTGAAGCTTGATTTTATTTTTGATGCCTATAACAGGTGTTGGTTTAATAGGTTTGCTGTATTATGGCTTGCTTCTTTTTTTTTCATGAGCCCAGCCAGCTCTGTAAGCTGACACGACATGAAGGCCACGCATGTGACTTCTCCCTGCCTTTAACCTCGCTTCACACCAAACACTTGCGCTGCAGACTCCCAGCAGCCAAGGCAGCCTTAATTCAAGCTTTGTCTAAACCAGGAGGTTTTGTGCTGATTGTCTTTAAATCAGCCTGACCAAAGCCCCTTGTACATTCCCATCTGAGGGGCTGCTTGCTTTGATTTTCCGCTGTCAGCTTTCTAATGGGCAGCTGCTGAGGGGAAGCGAATGTGGCCCGAACAACAAAGGAGCGTGTTTGCACTGTTCTCTGCATCGATTTCACACAAGTAGTTTGAAGCCATGGTCTAAATTAAACTGATTAGTGTTCTCCAAAGGATAGGCTTGCTGCAAAGAGGAAGGTGAATTCTTCTTCTATTAGGTCTAGTGGAAAATGTTTCGCAGCCTGTTTATCAAATAAATATTTGCAAAGATGCTTCGGATGAGGAAACCCACCGGGATTAGAGTGTAACTTTACCTCTAAAATATAAGCTGAGATTCCTGGAAATGCTGCAAGCTTTTGACTTTGCACCACCTGTTGTTTTCCTGCCACCCCTTTCGGCTCCCTCCCGACTTAGAGCAAACCCAAACACACTTTGGCTTTGCTGGAACATTTTGCTTGTTTTTCTGTCTCGCAGCAGCCTAGAGGAACGCAGAGCGCAGGTTCGCTTCCTGATGTGGTCCTCGTGGGCTTAGTTCAGCAAAGAGCTGGTTGAGTTTAATCCAAATCTCCTGTAATCCTGAGGGGTCTATTCAAGGGCTAAGAGGCCACGGTAACTTGGGGTGTTGACTGGGGGTGCAGGCGGGTTGCTGGAGAGTAGTTCCCCCAGCTCTCCTCTCCCCACTAGCAGCTGTAGCTAGTGCTGACCTGAGGGCGAAGCAGTTCCTGAACAAGTGCCCTGGGTGTACTGCTCGCAGTGCAGAAGTTATCCATTGCTGACTTTAAGTTACCTTAGTTCGGCACTAAGATGTTACAGTTCAAGATCTGTGCTAGCTGCAAGTGAGGGGTCTCCGTGAATGAGGTTGGGTATGAGCTGGGAAGTTCAACTGTTTTAGCCAGATCCTCCTGTATTCATGAGCAAGCCCAAATGGACTTGGATGGGCTCCTTAGTTCCTGTGATTTTATTATTTTTTTTTTCCATTTGGGCTGTTTTCACTCCAAATTCTTGGTCCTTAGTGAAGGCAGTTCTGCATCACCCTGGTCCAGTAGTACATTCCCATACACGTTGGTAAAACAGAGGTAGAGAGGGGTTAAGAAACTTGCCCAAGGCAGATGAGTCGGTGCCAGAGCTGGGAATAGAAACTAAGAGACTTGGCTGCAGCTCTAGGCTCTAATTGCTCAATCTCATATTAAAGCCCTGTCATCGTATACTCTTGAGGTAACATTGGCTGAAGTGAGATGGGGAAAGCTGTTTCCAGGCTGTGATACCTAAGGAGTGGGGAGAGGAAAAGACACCTGGAGGCAAATTGGTTGTGGAAGCACTGAGAATTTGTGCTTTAAAGCCTGCTTTCGGCAATTGGTACTAAAATCTGATCTGTCGCCTTTGAAGCTAACAAGCCAAGAAGTGTAAACTAAGGAGCTAGTTGGGAAAAATCCAGCCTTTTTCCAGTCACTGCAAAAGGGGAGAGGCGAAGTTGTAATGTCACTGCTCTTTTTCTCTGTAAAACACCCTTGCAATGAGATCGGGAGCAAAGGCAGATGAGCTGAAAGGATCCAAGTAATAATAGAAAGGGTTAAATACATTTCAGCTTTTGCTGAAAGAATGAAAAATAAAATGTAATCAAGCTAGTAAAAGGTTTGGATGATGTTGCATTCATATCACATGCTGTGTATAGGAAAAGTCAGTCGGGTTGGTTTTGTTTGAAGTGCAGTGCTTTGAGAGGGTGCAGTGCTTTGCAGCAAACTGTCTGACATTCCCCAGCTGGGACTGGCTGGGAATGGTGTTTGGAGCTGAGAGTTACATTTGGAGTCAGCCCATGTTTGAAGGAGACAGAGAGAGGGAGAGAAAGGAGCCTGGTTTTTTTCCTGGGTGAAATAATGCATCCATCTGATCTGCCAGCTGTAGCCCGTGAAAAGCAAGAAGCAAATGGACAGAAGTCACCTGGAAACTGCGAACATGGCTCAAACAAAATAGTTCCTTCCTGTCCTTTTCTTCCCTTCTTAAAGTCTTTCCTCTGGGATGGGCTGGGAGATCTGGCAGGCGGGCAGATTGGATATATATACGTTGAGCAACTAAAGCAACCAAAATATTAATACTCCAGAAAAACAACATTGGCTTCTGAAGAACACCTAATGTCCAACTCACTCTGTGCTCTCACTCCCTTGCAGACTTAGCTGCTCTGCACAGGGATTGTCAGGTAATTTATAGTTTCTTCACGTTCATTTGTACAAGCCTTCATTTCCTGTTAATTTATGGCCAGATTTATCTCAGCCACCACGGCCTAGATGAGATCAGAATTGAACTCACAGCCCCTGCTTCAGCAGAGTTCCAGAAAACATGCTTGGGTTTGCTTTCACGTATGTCTCTGTTGAGGTACTTTCCTGGATCAGGATCACATACACATTTAATGGACTCTCTTCTGAGGAGTAGGAAAAAAGATGGGAATTTTTGAACATGCTGATTCTACTAACTGAGTTCCTTGCAAAAGAAACTATTCCTTGAGGAAGAAAATCCCCCTCACCCGTGTGTTCAATATATGGAGGTCACAAAATTCTGGGTATAGTGAATTTTCCAGTATTACAGTCTCACTATAGTATAAATTCACTGGAGCTCTGTTCCCCCATGTGCCATGGATGTGAAAATTCTGTCTCTATTCCTAGCTGTAAATGAATATCAGTCATTTGGATAGTAGCCATATTGTTGCCATTTATACAGTTTGTGGTTGCAGAGACCTGTGTGTGTGTAACCCATGGAATAACCAGTTTGGGGATATAAGTTAATGACTTTGATTTTTCCTGATGCCTTTTTGCACCACATTAGCAGCGCATTGCTATAGTGGTGTAAAATTTATCCTTAATCATTTGTGAGGCTGCACTGAATTAATTAAGCAGCATTTAAACTCTTCAGTTAAAGCAGCATTTCTGCAAATGTTTCCCCAGTTTAAGCAAGGGGCATGTGCTGGCTGTTTAAAGGGTGAGTCTCCCAAAAGCAAATGGTTCTGTGGATGCAGTTTTTACCCTCTTCCTGTTGCAGACACCAGCAAATGTGGTGGTGAAACAATCTGGTTTTAATAACGGGGAGAGTAAAGGAGCAGATCACAGTGTGGGGAGCAGGTCCCTTGCCATGTGCTATTGGTATTTTCTTTTGGGGGGAGAGGTTTTCTTTGAAAGGGGCTTGTCTGAGCCCCTCGAAGAGCCTGAAATGGGGGGCTGAGGCTGGAGAAGACTGGCATGGTCTTCAGTGCCTGGACGGCTGTGGTCATTTTTTTGTTTCAAAGAGCTTATGCTTTGTCAGGAGAGCTGGGACACCCTGGTTTGCCTTCAAGAGTGCTTTCACTGGCTGCTGTCTCCTCTTCTGGTTACTCCGTGGGTAGCCCGACGGATTAAGGCACAGTACTTGTCTGAATCCTCTCTGCTATCTCTTATTATTCAGCAAGTTCTCAAGTGTCTGCTGAGCGTCTCTGGAGTGCTTCACTTTGCAGCCTTGCCAGTAATATCAGTGACTGGTCTAAATTCACATCAGGGATGTGCTCTACTTCTTGTGACTAATGCGCAATGTATTTTTTTAATTGGTTACTGTTCTATTGATTCAGGCCTGAAAGGAGAAAGAGGAAAGGGGAGGGGAGGGGGGGGCGGGATTTTTAGTTAGATCTTGTTCAGTACAGATGAGGTCTTAGAGGTATTTAACTGTTTGATGGCTGCAGAAATCCTGAAGACAGTTTGTAGTACTTTCTCTAAAGAAAAAACATTAGATTGAATCCATCAGGCTGGTACTGGTAAGACAGCAAACACAGGCGATGGTTGCAGGCTCTGATCCTGCACTTGGTGGTTGGGCAGAGCACTGGCACTGCAGAGTTGTCCTAATTACACAGCAGGACAAAGGTAGCAAAACGTCAGGAGACATTTGCTAGAACGTTCGCAAGCCCTCTTACAGTGTTTCTGTGCATTGCAAATCATAGTAGCGTAGTCCAAAGCTGGAAGTTTTCAGAAGAATCCTTAGGAATTAAGGAAACAATGTTTTGTAACTTTTGCTGAGATTGTATTTACTTCTCTGTTTCCTGCTCTGAAAATCCCATCCTCTGTGTAAAACATTGGCAGGTTGCTTAAACCATTGATCAGCACTCCTTGCCTGTGGGGTTAAAATCCATCCCTGCAGTCCTTGCGTGTAACAAATCCATTCTGGAAGTGCAGGCTTGTAGGAAGCCGAGCCCAAATTAATGGAAGAAAAACTGATGAATGGAGTCACTAGTCCTGTAGAAGGGAAAAGTCTTGTACCATACCAGAAAAAGTGTCTGGAAGCTTTCAGGTATCTTTGAGCTTGTCTCTCCAGCCTTAAGAACAGCATAGGGATTAGGGAAGATCTCTCTGGTGTGGGCTTCTCCTTGGACAGCTGTTGAAGAAGCACCCTAAGTCTGAGTGTGTGAACTCAGGGGCCAGCCTGTGGGTCTGCTGTGGCCTCAGGTATTCTGTCTGTTCTTTTAAGAGAACTAAATTGTATCCATTTCTCCTGCTGACTGTTTCAGGCATCACAACAGGATCCACAGCATTGAAGCGAGTCAACTGAAGCCCTACGTTACCCTGGAAACGTTGGACCTGAGTTTCAATGACATCACGGAAATCCGAAACGGCTGCTTTCCGCAGGGACTTCACATAAAGGAGCTGTGAGTTTTTCTTGTTGGGAACAGCTTTTGTTGAGTTACCACAGCAGAGAAAAGGGCCTCAAGCCTTCTTTAAAAAATGGAGAAGGAATGAACATACAAAGTATGGGGTTATTCGTCAGGATTTTAAGTGCAGGGGAGAATTAGAAAGCAGCACATTGTCCCTACTCTCAGCTTATTTTTTGAGCTCTGATCTTTAATGCAGATTATTATTAATTGTGTTGCATGGGAACATTGCAACAGAGAAAAGGTATTCTGCATCCTTCAGGTATGGGTGTCTTTACAACTGGAAACCTAGAAGCCACAAGAACTGTCTGTGTCTCTTCCCAGTGGAAAGCATATATGCTGTTTCCCAGATCAGCCCATGTGCATCTGGAAGAGGGGAGGGGGAATGACTATTTCGTTGTTAAAATGGCTACTGAATGTTAAGAATGGAAATCTCTCATTGGTTATTTGAAGAAAACCAGGGGTTAAGCAGAGTAACACCCTCCAAACTGGGATGTGTTTTCAGTACCTTTCAAGAGGTGCAGAGAGATAATCTGCTTGCATTAAAGTTTGCATGAAAATTTCTGCCTCTGGTTGTAAGAGGATATAAGAGAGTGGTGTTGTGACTGATGCTTGCCTGTTATCCTGTAAAAACAGCCTCTGCAGCTAAGACTAGGGTCCAGGTAAGAAAGAGCCCTGGGACAGATGCTGAGGGAAAACTGGAGAATGAATAGAGTCATGCTGCACTGGAATATTCTCCAGTTGCTGGCTTCCACTCCTGATTGCCTTGCTCTGAAGTAGGAAGGTATCAAGGAGCTCTTGGGAAGTGCGCAGCACTTCTCCACGTTCATCGCATGGCTTTGGGAAAGGTACCGAGCTCTTTGTGCAGCCAGAAATCCAGCTGATTTGAAGCTACCTCTGTAATTTCACCAGCCTGTCTGGAGACCAACCAAATGCTGATAAAAGGAGATTTCTGATAGAACTGTTCATTTTTCTGCTGTGATTTATTGCAGCTACCTGGGGAGCAACAGAATCAGCACCCTGGAGCCTGGTGCTTTTGATAGTCTGTCACGGTCCCTGCTAACACTTCGTCTGAGTAAAAACAGGATCACTCAGCTTCCTGTCAAGGCGTTCAGGCTACCAAGGCTAACGCAACTGTGAGTAGAAATGTGCACTTTAATTAAGCTCAGCCACGCTTTATGGAGACAAAATGTCCCTGAGGATAAACACACCAAATTTCACCCTTCTTCACCTGCTATCTATAACACTTAGAACACACTATGCAGTAGTCCTCTGCCAGCACCTAGTAAAACGTGTTGGGAGGGGGTCCCTTTTATCTTGTAGCTATTGGCTTTTCAGGCCATTCTTTTAATCGGGTGGGGAGGGAGGGAGGGATGCTGCAGCAGACATCAGCATCTTCTGCACTTGACAGCGTAAGACAAATCCATTCTCTTAAAAGCTGCTGGCGTCTGTGGCGCAAGAGAGGTTTGGAAGATGTTTCTATTGCGAGTGACAGAGCTCAGCTACCATGTTAGGCTTTCAGGACCACACAGCTATCTTTATGTGGTCATAAAAAAGTAATGATGGAATGTTGTTAAACTGTGAGGTGATATTTGGGCAGAGAAAATAGCACTCAAGATGACTTAACACACACTTTGTTGTTGTCCTGCCTGTGGTCCATATGGCAGGAGGTGCATGGGGACACTTAGACATCTGCAGCGATAAATATGCTTTATGTGTAAAATAGTAGCACTAATGGTTTAGCTTTTCCCTTCTGCTGCAGTTGGAGAAATGGGCCCAACCTGAGGCCTGTTGCAGTCTTTCCATCAAATTTGATAGGCAAAAGATCAACCTCTGTCTGTTAACATAAAGTCCACAAAAGCTGTTGGAACTCACACCTCTAAATGGCAACCTCTTGATTGAGAGACAAATCCTTAAGCCAATATGCCTCTAAGGAATGGGTGTGCATTTGTGCTTGCATACCTGTAGGATTTATAGCCGATTTGGGATTGAACAGTGTGACACAATAGCATATGCTTCTTAAAAGTCTGCTGCCTCTCAGTTGGAAGTTACTGTCCATTGACTGAGAGCTTGTAATCCACTGTGTTTGTCTGCATTATGTGCAAAATGAATAACAATGAGGGTCAACTCAATCTGTTTAGGAATGCAGTTTTCACTGAAACTTGGAGTAATTGGTAGTCTTAAAGACAGTCTCACGGCTGGTTGTTTAAACCTAAATATAAACATGAATGAATTGCAAGTTATACAGAGTCAGTGTGTTGTAGAATTTGTACAGTTCTTTTTCTGGCAAAGCGTACTTCACTAATAGCCTAGGAAGTGCAGTAAGGTAAGAGTCTTTAGGCCTGCAAACTTTTTAACTGCTTACTTGACTTTAATTACACTCAACTTGAGTGCAAGTTCAACACTGGCTTTTTTAGGCAATTAAAAAGTAAGCTTAAAATTTCTACGGCTTCCTCATCTTTTCCAAAACAACTTCTGATGTTGCAACCTCCACCACTTTCTTCAACACAAACACAGTATAGGGAACTACCCTTACAATAGTCTCGTGGGTGCAGAAAGGTATCCATTTTAAAAGCTCTTCAGCTTTAGTGCATTGTGTCAATGAAGTTTTCCACTGACTTTATGGAACTGGGTTTTTACCTGGTATGTCTGGGTCTAGCAATCCGTAAGACTCTTTGATATGGGTTGGTAAAGCATGCTGTGATGATGTTCATAGTGCTATTCAGAAAAAAGGTATTACCAAAATTTAAGAGTGTCTCCCCACCCAAGGGAAGAAAAAAAGAAAACTTTAATAAACCAAGTTAGAGATCTTTGTATACCCAAAATACTAAGACTGCCTTGTTATTGGAAACAACTTGTTTCACTTGTTATTGGTTTCCTATAATAGGAAAAAATGTGAAATTTGTCAGGGCAACTGAAAGCTTTCCTGCCAAACTTAACCATTAACTTTCCTCTTGGGCTCATAGGTCTTACGGCACCCGCTTGTTTCAGAGCACATTTTTACTGGGCAATTACAAGTCCTGTAAAAACAATGGGTCTTAAGGGAAATAATGCTGATGTTTAACTGTATTTGTTCAAATGGTGTCTCTGCTTGAGGGGTGACATGAAAATTGATGAAAAGGATAAATGGCTTAAAAGAAATGCAGAGAGAGTAGGAATGAAGAGGAATTGCTGCACTGTCTCTGTTATTTCTCTGTAGCAAAAGTCTGTCCCTGGGTGAGTTTATTTAAGCGATCACACCCAGCTGACTTCCCTAGCTAGCTGTGGGATTGAAAGTTTCCCGTGCGTTTCTGTGCTCTCCTGGGAACCATTGACAGAAGAGTTGTTGGCATTGCTGTCCCCATTGTACGCTGCACAGATGATTTCGTGAGAAAGGACTGGGATTTAATAAACTTGTATGGCCTTGGTGATTTTAGGGAGCTGAACCGGAATCGCATCCGCCTGATTGAAGGCCTGACGTTCCAGGGACTGGACAGCTTGGAAGTCCTGAAACTCCAGCGCAACAACATAAGCAAATTGACTGATGGGGCTTTCTGGGGTCTAGCCAAGATGCAAGTTCTGTAAGTTGGAGAGATGGGCTCTTTTCCCTTAAGCAGCCGAAGCATCACCTGCTATTGTGTCCTTCTCTGCATTTTAGCAAGGACTCCCATCAGAGACCTGTGGGTAGCTCTGCCAGTCCTTGTGTTTCTTTCTCTGTCCTGCAAGCACAGAGCTCTCCCATGCTACAGCAGCTTCTCTTTAGTTGACCCACAGTTTACTAAAAGCTCATTGCTTTACCAGATATTCAATAAAAAGTTCTGTTTTTCAAGCTGTGGTGGTATTAATTTGAAAGTTTGATGATTTGAATGTTCAGAAAGATCTCAGTTGGTCTTTAAATAAAAGCTCCTACGGCTTCTGCAAATTTGTTTTGACTGATACATGGAAACTCTGTTGCAGTCCTGATCATTCTGTCTCTTGGGATACCTAGAAACCAAGCTGGCCTATCTCAGTGATGTGTTCTTTCCATGCGAGAGAGCAAATTGAAAGTCATTGCAGAGAAATGCTTGAAACTTCCAACACGATTGGCTTTCAAGTGTGTTTGCAAGGTCATAAGTGACCAAGGCAGCATGTTTCTGGATGCTGCTGTCACACAGCTGAGACTCTGCAAATACAAACTTGAATGGGATGCTTTAAGCCCAGTTTACTTGCAGTGGAGCATACCTCTGCAGTCACAGCTCATTCATTTTCTTTGTGTTGTCCTTGAATTTCTATCCTTCGCTTGCACAAGAAATGCCCTCACATGCACGTATCCACATGGGTATGTAGAAGGGTGTGTAGGAATGGCTAAAATCCCAATCCTTGTTGGAAATCCTTCAGCATTTGACCAGTGCTGCTTACCTGTCAATTCCTTCTGATTTTTCTCCGCAGCCACCTGGAGTATAACAGCCTGACAGAAGTAAACAGTGGCTCGCTCTATGGCCTTTCATCTCTGCACCAACTTCACCTCAGTAACAACTCCATATCCCGCATCAATCCCGATGGCTGGAGCTTCTGTCAGAAACTGCATGAGCTGTGAGTTGGTTTCTGTTGTGGTTGGCTGGGCAGGGTTTGATGCTAATGTAATGTTGGCAGGAAAGGGGAGTAAGGATTTTTCCCAGTCACATAGCTTATAGCTCCTGCTGTATCAATCTGTAGAAATGCAGGAACTGCAGCCTTCTAATTGATGCCCTTGTTATTCATGATGTTATGACCTCCAGAGCACCTGACTAAAATACGTTTACACCAGAAACAGAGACTAGAACCCACTAAAAGTATACAGTGCCAAAAGACCTGGAGAGTTAGTGATCTGCGGCTTGCCAACACTTTTTAGAGAGCTAGTTACCAGACGTGCATGGCTTGCCATATAATGACTGTACAGCCTGAAGGAAGCTTTGCTTTACCTTCTGTATTTACAAAGAACAATCATGTTTTTAACCAGCAGAGATTTGGCCCTTTAAAGGCAGTTCTCCTTATTTCTCCTGTTTATACTTTACCCTTCTTTAAAAGTAAATACATTGACTTTGCTCTCCTGAGATTTCCAGCTGTGAATACAGTCTCTCTGACAAACGAAAGAAAGCCTTGCTGCTAAGGACAGCCCCACAAGGGTGAGTTTTGGGTCTGTGGCACTGCTTAATGCCTTTTTGAAGGGACACACATGGATGCTTGCAGTATTTACAGAAGTAGCTGTCATCCCCTCGGTGGGACTGTGGAAAGAATCACTTTTTTCTTTGGAGAACTTGACACATGTGGTTAGCGTAACTGTAATTCATTCTGCTTGGTGCTCAGAAATCTCTTGTTAAACTTTGTTAGGGATTCTCATATCCACCAAAAAGCTGTACGGTAAAGCAGCTTCCTGCTTTCAGAGGCCTCACTCCGGACTCAAACTAATGGTCGGTATCTGCCTACCCAGCTGTGAGTCCCTGGTCTTTTGGGATGTGGTTTCAGAGATAGGTGGACATGACACATGCCATTCCTTTAAGGTTAGAAGCTGTAGAATTAATGTGTTAGCCAATGACCAGCTGTGATCTTCTGTTGATCCCAAATTATTCATTCAGATGTGGATTATTTTGGGGGGCACAAGGAAACATTTTATTTTTGGTTTTAGTTAAATACATATGTGATTGTTTAATTACCTAATTTTTCAAATTGCTGTGAAACTGCCTGTGCCTAAAGGGCTCCCTTCCTTGGCACAGTGCTGTAAACAGCTACAGTTCCTTCACGTGCAGATTCTCAAGTGATATTTTACTAGATTAAGGCAGTGTCAATGGAGAAATCTTCAAGGCAACAGATCAGAATTGGCACTGTGCTTCGCCCCGTGGTCTGTTTAAATCTGATCCATCAGGAAAGGGGAGCCTGCCTTCCTAGGGCACTCATAGTTGGGCCACTGGAATTACCAAATTCGGATCACTACACTGTGTTAGTAGCACAGCTTAGGGAGCTTCCTGCTCTCAGGGACCCAGTATCTGGTGCCTGTGTTGAAGCTTTATTTCAGCCTGGGTTCAGATTGGATGGCTAAGCCCCACCTGCATCTTGGAGAGCTAATGTCAGAACACTTTTAGGGAGAACTATCCTTGTCTCTTCTACCTGACACTCTTTGTGAACCCTCAAGGTTTAGACGGGAGGTTGCACATCATGTTGAGTCCTTTATTTGTTGGGTATGGACTGGGATCTCTTGCCGACAAGTAGTGGTGGTGGTGAGCTGTCCTGGCTTAGAGACAGTAACTGCAGAAACCCAGTGCAGGACTCACTCTGGTGCAGAATGGGGTAGATTTGGAAAATGCCTGGTCGTGTGCGGTGGTAGGAGCCACTGGGACATGCTTGGCCTGACAAACAGGATTGTGCTAGAGCACGGGGCCAGAGACGACATTAGCTGAGATTCGGAAGGCGATTATGTGGGTGTTAGCACACACCTCTGCAAAATATTACAAGCTCTTGCAGGTGTTGCCTTTAGGGTAAGGCTCCTGCAGGGAGCCATCAGATACTCCTAACTGAAATTCCCACAGCCAAAGAGTACTTGTAGGAGAGGTCTGCTCTGAAATTGAAGGGTGAGGAAAGGAAGCACTAGATATATCTCGACTGCCTCTATGCACTTCTTTGAATGTGTACGTTTCATTCCTTATTAAAGGGTCCTTGCTTGACTCCCCTATTGCTAAATCTACTGGGTTTCGGTTATCAGAAAACACTGTCTCTGGTTGTACAGGGACTGTCTCTGGTTGTACAGGGACTGAATTTCAAAATCCTTGACCCAAGGAAAGAAGGTGGCCAGACCCCTGCTTATCTGTGCGAAGGGAGGAGGTGGTCATCTGAAGGATGAGTTGTCTCTCCTTCAGTTGTTGGGAGAAAACGTGACCCCAGGGCTCTGGTCTGATGTAAAAGCTAACAAGGAAAGAGAGCTCTTGCCTTGTTATGGGCATGAGAAAGGGCTGATTGTATTCACCAGTCAGGTGCTAGGGCATCAACATCATGGAAAAATCCACAGTGAGAGCACAGGATTTCATCAGAGGTAAATGATGACTTGGCTGCTAGGTCTGTCTTTTCACTTTTTGCCTATGGTTTGGTCAGTAGGTATGAAATGTATTAGATGTACCTGGCAGCAGGGGCCCCAGCTGCACAACAGTTTTCCAGTTAACCCCCTCATGTATCACTTTTGGCATGCCACTCTGTGTCCGCTCTCCCATTTCCTCACCAGGCCAAAAGGGCTGTGTGGACAAACATTTCCACTTGTTTGTTCCACTGATTTCTCACTGCTAGAGAGATGAGAAGGTAGGGGAAGTAGCAGAGACCTGCTGACTTATCTCAACCCAGATAATCCAAACTGCTGAGGAGGGCAACACAGTGTTGTGCAAACTGGCCTGTCCCACTGGCAGGAAGCAGAGCCCTTCGCATCAAAGGAAGCTGCTGCCAGGTGCGTTAGCTCCTGAAACCTTCCATCTGGTTGCAGCTATTGAGAGAGCTCTCTAAAGACTGCTGCTGTCTGTCCATCTTGAGGTGATATCAGGACGAACGGAGGGGAACATGCCTTCACCAGTTGTGGCAGGAACTCTTCTGTGTAGAATCAAAAGGAAATATTTTTTTTTCTCAACAGGTTTAGGGTTACTTTTGAACGCTTTGGTTTTTTTTTTTTTTTTTTTAAAAGCCAAATTCTTTAATCGCAGGTGAGGACATAATTTTGACCGGATGCCAGTTCTTCATAACTAGCACTACAGCTTCTTTAGGAATGAAGCTATGTTGTCCCATACCTTCTTCAAACTCATTAATCTTCGCTGAATTTTTTCCAAAGCTTGCCCTCTGCCCACTCACACAGCTAAAAGATCGACAGCTGGTTTGCCAAGTAAATGACACTCTCCGTACTTTGCAGTATGTGTCTAGTTTGACTTAGGTTTTGGCTTTGCAGTGACTTTCATGCAAGCCCTAGACGCATTTTTAAGCAGCCTTATTAACAGGCAGTACTAGAAGAGGAATTTGGAGGTTTGGAACTCAGATTTTTTTTTTTTTCTTGTTTTCTCTGTAATGAAGGATTTTGGTGCTTGTTTAAAGCTGTATAACTCCACTTTTTGAAAACTTTAGCAGCCCAAACCCTCACATTTTGATAAGCTTGAGAAAATGTGAGTAGCCACTTTTTATACCCAATGTATCAGTGTGCAGGCAACTTAAAGTTGAGGCTATTGCCGGTCACGCTCACCTGCCAGTAGCGCTGCAGGGCTGACCCAGCTGCAGTGACATCCAGAGATCAGGAGGAATATACTTGCAGTGGGGAGCTGTGGGTGGATTCTCTGGGCTGAAGATCACTGGCCAGTGACTGCCTGCTGCTACACCAGGAGGTCCCTCATTTGACGAACCAAGCTGGCCTTCAACGTCAGTAACTCTGCGGCTTTACTGCTTGTGTAGAAGGTGGTTGCATATTGTGAGAGGTGTCTGCAGTGGCTTGTAGCTTCCCATGCCCTGCCCAAAGGCTCAGAAGCCTGATCTGCACCCTGGCTGGGAGAGAAAAACAGCTTTCTTCCTACCAGCTTCCAAACTGCAACAGGAGTAGCACTTAAAAAAAAAAAAAATCTCAAAACGGGAGATAATACAGGCAAGGGGAAGAGGTAGATAGAAAACTAGGAAAAAAACAATCCTCCAGTATTAGTCACTTGTAAGTGCAGAAGATTTCAAGCAGACTGTACACTCCTTGACAAAGGGGGGTGGGAGGGAAGGCGGCTGGTTTACAGCAGATACCTCCTTCCTGTGCATGAAAGGAAGCATTCAATTGCCTTGTGGTGAAATGCTTTTGGCTCTCAACTGGGGTGGAGTAGGCTGTGAAGACACCCACACCCAGACGCCTGGGGCTTGCTGTGCACAAGTGCAGAATGATAAGACACCTCCTGAATACAGAAGTTTGGACCCTGCCAAGAGCACGTGTGCACTTCAAAATCCATCTGTTTGACGTCACTCTCCACCTTGCAGGGTGTGGGGAAAGAGGGGACTGCTTTTCCCTGTAAGCTGCAAAGGGTAGTCCAAATGGGAGGGAGGATTGAACACAACCAGGACTCCTACCTGAGTGTTAACTGTACATCTGGGGGCTGAGGAAGGGTGGTGTGCCTAGGCCCTAACCTAGCTGTACAGGCCATGGAGAAAGAATAGCTTCTCCTTGCCAATAATTGATAGTGTGTGTATTAGTTTATTGCTCTCATTCACTGCTGGAGGAGCCTCTCTCTGTTGCCTGTACAGAAGCCTTCCCTGTAACTGGGTACCAAATGCCTCCTGTTCTCTTATGGTCATCCAGGCTGCCCCATGGGAATCTTGTGGGAATATTTGCAGACTGCAGTCTTTATTTCCTAATCAAGGCTGTATCCGCCCAGTACACATCGCTTCTCGTAAGATGGTTGTGGGAGGCAGGAACTGGTTGGCACAGAGGAGTTTGGAGAATACTGGTTGGATTGACAAGGGTTGTTGTGTTGGTTTTTTTTTTTCCTCAGAATACTCTCTTATAACAACCTAACCAGGCTGGATGAGGGAAGCTTAGCAGACCTCGGGGGGCTGCACATATTACGACTGAGCCACAATTCCATCAATCATATTGCAGAAGGTGCCTTCAAGGGACTCAAAAACCTACGTGTCCTGTAAGTTGGCCCCAGCTTTTGTCAGCTAACACCTATCTTCCTTCCACAGTTCGTGTTCTGTCAAATTGTTCTGCTTTGCAGTTGCTTTGGGTGCCTGTGTTCTCAGCATCAAACTCCCCTACATGTTGCTCGGTTTTCTTCAGCAGCTGTTGTGTTCACCCCGTTACTCAACTTCAGCAAACTTGTATTTTTTAGTTAGGGGTAGTTAGGAGAATTGTAGTTGGATTGCTCAGTGTTGTAGGGTGCTTTCGGACTAGAGGGCTCCAGAGTAAAACTATAGGAACGTTGAACAGGATCCTGAATCTAGCCCAGCTGAGCAAAAATCCCTGAGGCATCAGTCCTTCAGCTAATAGCAGAATTTCTCCTGCCATCGTATTGACTTTACTTCAAACTCGTAGAAAAGGACAGTTTGTGTTGGGTCATTCTGCACTCGGGGAAGTAGGGAATGATTCCTTACAGTGACAATGCTGGAAATTTGAATATCCTCTTAAATGTGCTATCAAGCATTTTAGTGTGCTATTACTACTTTTTTTTTTTTTTTTAATTGCATAATAAATATAAAATCCTGGGCAAGATGGTGTTGAGAAGAATAAAACAATGGCAAAGTAAAGATATTCAGAGGTTGAGCTTGGGATATGATTATACCAGAAGCGTAGCGACGCACAAAGCTTCACTCAGTTTTGGGTCCAACTATGGGAGTAGGAAACTGCTACAGGTACCATGAGAGTAACCAGAAGTCTTTCTCTTCAATGCAGAATTGGGCTCACTTGGGTCATGAAATGTTCTGTTGCTCTGATTTTCGTGGTAACCTCTGAACAACAACAAAGTTGCCATGCTATCAAGAGAAAAGCTTCATGTGCCCTAATATTGCATTGCAAAATGATCCATCCAGTGGTGGCTCTGGCTATTTACCAGAGACTTTTATTTTAAAGTCACTGACACAATATAATGCCTGGAGATGTCACAATGGAAATGAGCTTGCCATCTAGAAGATAGCAACTCGTAGGTTTTAGGACTGATAGAAACCATTGGACAGATCAATCTGACCACCTCTGGGACGCCAGCTATAGAATTGCACCATTATACATTAGATTGAGGTATATCTGGGCTTGCCTTAGAAACCTCAGAAGATGGGGAATCCAGTTCTCTTAGTTGTCCATTCCTGCAGCTATGCTGCCTCTGTCACCCTTATTTGTACCTGCAGAGCTGCTGGCTGCTCTCTTCCTCTCTCCAGAGCCTGCAGGCTCAGCACCTTCATCAGGCACACCGCAAAGTTCTCACAGCCTGTGTTACAGCACTGTCCAAGCTCCCAGACTGGTTGAGTTCAACAGGCTGATTCAATTCTTCCTTCAAA